CCACATGTGCACACTCCCTCAAATCGTTTGGAGAAGATATTCTTTCTATTTTATTCAGCTATGTTCAATTGTATTCTTCATACTATAAAATAATATAAAATAATGCCACGGAATTCTAAGCAAATCTTGTTTGCTAAATTAATGAGTGTAGCCCACAGCCATATGGCATAGCCAGATCAGGGCCTAGCATAAGGACAACTCAGAGTATGCTATTCTGTTCTTCTGAAATAGACTACATTTTCTTCATATCATGTTTCTTTAGAACTGTCTAAAATAAATAATGGATTTATTGTGATGGTGTTGGCTATATTACATGGACTAATTCGACTAAAATGTAGATGTTCCAAAGGTTTGCATCAGTGGCTTGTAGGCTATGCGTGGAAGCTAAGAGATGCTAAATGTGTTTATGTTAATTAACGGTCAATTACTGTGACACCGGCAGTTATTTGCTTGACAATCCCCGGCTGACAAAATGTCATGACCGCCACAGCCCTACCTATACCCATCATGAGGATGCTACAATCTAGCCTATGAATGAATGAAATACATTTGAGTAATAAAGGTGACAGACATTGACACATTCAATACCGCCTTGCCTGCATCTAGCTGATCTACTGTGTAATCACTAGTCCAACGGTTGCAAACGAGAGTTTCTATTGGACAAATTCAGGTATGTTTTTCCCCATTTCGTTGCGTTTGCTTCCATTTTTAATACTTTTTTTCTACAGAATCGGTGGAATGAATACACACCTGATCACATGCAAACACGGTTCACTTTCATAGCAGCCACATACATACAGCATGATGCCTTTGATCGTTGTATAATTTCTTCTCACATCTAAACGCTCTCCTCCTCTCAAAGTTTTGACTTTGCTTGCGGAGTTCAGTGCACAATACATCAGCTGTCTGTGACCAGTCGAAAAATCCTGCAAAATAATTTTTTTTGTGAAACAAACAAGAGCCACCTTTGCAGCAATTACAGCTGCAAGTCTCTTGGGGTATGTCTCTATAAGCTTGGCACATCTAGCCACTGGGATTTTTGCCCATTCTTCAAGGCAAAACTGCTCCAGCTCCTTCAAGTTGGATGGGTTCCGCTGGTGTACAGCAATCTTTAAGTCATACCACAGATTCTCAATTGTATTGAGGTCTGGGCTTTGACTAGGCCATTCCAAGACATTTAAATGTTTCCCCTTAAACCACTCATGTTGCTTTAGCAGTATGCTTAGGGTCATGAAGGTGAACCTCTGTCCCAGTCTCAAATCTCTGGATGTCTGAAACAGGTTTCCCTCAAGAATTTTCCTGTATTTAGCGCCATCCATCATTCCTTCAATTCTGACCAGTTTCCCAGTCCCTGCCGATGAAAAACATCCCCACAGCATGATGCTGCCACCACCATGCTTCACTGTGGAGATGGTGTTCTCAGGGTAATGAGAGGTGTTGGGTTTGCGCCAGACGTAGCGTTTTCCTTGATGGCCAAAAAGCTCAATTTTAGTCTCATCTGACCAGAGTACATTCTTCCATATGTTTGGGGAGTCTCCCACATGGCTTTTGGTGAACACCAAACGTGTTTGCTTATTTTTTTCTTTAAGCAATGGCTTTTTTCTGGCCACTCTTCCGTAAAGCCCAGCTCTGTGGATTGTACGGCTTAAAGTGGTCCTATGGACAGATACTCCAATCTCCACTGTGGAGCTTTGCAGCTCCTTCAGGATTATCTTTGGTCTCTTTGTTGCCTCTCTGATTAATGCCCTCCTTGCCTGGTCCATGAGTCTCTTGGCAGGTTTGTTGTGGTGCCATATTCATTCAATTTGTTAATAATGGATTTAATGGTGCTTTATTTAACTAATTATGTGACTTCTGAAGGTAATTGGTTGCACCAGATGTTATTTAGGGGCTTCATAGCAAAGGGGGTGAATACATATGCACGCACCACTTTTCCATTATTTATTTTTTAGAATTTTTTGAAACAAGTTATTTTTTTCATTTCACTTCACCAATTTTGACTATTTTGTGTATGTCCATTACATGAAATCCAAATAAAAATCCATTTAAATTACAGGTTTTAATGCAACAACATAGGAAAAACGCCAAGGGGGATGAATACTTTTGCAAGGCACTGTAGCTACTAGAACTAACGTGTTAGTAAACTCACTACAGCAATGCAGTACAGTGTACAGTCAGCAAGGCGTTTAGCAGTTAAAGCTTACCTTGACTTGGAAGAGTTCCAGTGTTGGATAGCCATAGGCAGCTAGCTAACATATCATCCCTCTCTGTTTGAGTAGGCTAAACTAGGTAGCTACATTCACTAGCTAAGTAAGTGAAAGTGATAAAAATACAAAATATAGCTAGCTCTCTCTCTCGGGCACACTTCTCCTTCATTTTTGAATAAATTAATTTGTTCAAACTGTTCAACTATTGTCTTTCTCTCTCTTTGAGTCGACTACTCACCACATTTTATGCACTGCAATGCTGTAGATTATTCTTTCAGTACTAGATTCATTATCTGATCCTTTGATTGGGTGGACAACATGTCAGTTCATGCCACAATAGCTCTGATAATTTGGAGTATGTCCTCCGGAAGTTATCATAATTACTGTGTTAGTCTAATAAATTGGGTGAGAACCAAGAGCCTCCTAGGTTTTGTATTGAAGTCAATGTACCAAGAGGAGGACGGAAGCTAGCTGTCCTCCGGCTACAACATGGTGCTACCCTACAGATTGCTGCTGAGGCTACTGTAGTCCTTCATTGCAAAACAGTGTGTTTTAATCAATTATTTGGTGATGTGCTGGATTCTAGCTTGCAATACACTTATTCATGTTACCTTACTAGAACGTATTGATTCGTTTACACGTATAATGAATGTATATGTTGGGGTCAATGGAGGGTGGATAATAACTAGGTGTGTGGAAAGTTACTGAGTGAGACAATGGGGGAAGGTAGGAAGTTTACATTCTGTCGAACATGTTATTGTTAAATCTCATGGATCCTATGGAGGGAGGCAAAGGGCAACAGTCTGGTTTCAGTCACTGATAAGGTAGGACAGCTGTGGATTAGGGAGCAGTGAGGAATTCGGCCCGAGTTCAGGTCAGATGAAGTGAGAAGGAACATTCCTGTTACACACACATATACTTACATGTCCACAAAGGTTCTAGCAGGAAGCGGGGCCATGATTACACCAGTGAGAGGAACCAATTAAATTCCTGACTAGCAGCAGAGATGTGTTGGCTATCTAGATGTGCAAGGAGGTGAATATATGTGCTTGTGTAAACATGTCTTTGCCTTTTACAGCTGTTTGACCCAGTGGGTCAATAATCTTGGTTTGAGCTTTCACTTGTTGTCCGTGAGTTTTTTACTCTTTTTGTCAGAACCTAATACGTGAATATATTTAGTATAGTTTTATCTAAAAAGGATAACTTTTTAAATGTTTCACTATTTAAATGTTTCTGAAATTCACTGAGGATTATGGTCCTGGTCACATACAGCTGATGTGTTGTGCATTGAAGTCCACAAACGATCAAGGGTGTATTCATTCTGCCGATTCTGTTGAAAAACCTTTATTAAACAGAAGCAAAAGAAACAGGGATAAAAATACCTGAATTTGTCCAATAGAAACTCTTGTTTGCAACTGTTGGACTAATAATTACACCCTAGATAAGCTAGATGCAGGCAAGAGTGTGCAAGGCGGTATTGAATGTGTCACTGTCTGTCCATGTGTCACTGTCTGTCACCTCAGATTTCTCTCGACCTGTGTGCACCTACGTTGTAAACTTTCATTCTTAGGCTAGGTTGTAGCAACCTCATGATGGGTATAGGGAAAATTAGAGTATCATGTAGTAGCCTAAACCTATCGATGTTACATTGAACTGGGTGAATGGAATATGAATGTCAGTCATCGAACATGCTGTAATAGAAATAAGGCCATGCTCATTAAAAAAAATTATCGTCCTCCCTTTTCATAAACGGCACTGACCGCCACTGCACTGTATATATTACTACTAGTATATTACCATAAGTATGTATATATCCCTGCTACCAGTCACTTTTCAGCCCTGTTTACATGTATATATTAGTATATATCTATTTATCATGCTACTGGTCACTATTACTCCTGTTTACATCTACTGTATATATTACTACTAGTATATTACCATAAGTATGTGTATATTCCTGCTACCAGTCACTTTTCAGCCCTGTTTACATGTATATCCGCCTATCACACCTACACTATCACTATGGCACACACACTCACACCCACTAACACCTACACACTTACACTTACATACACACACCCACCACCAAGCTCAAATCCACCCACCACTTATGCTGCCGCAGTACTGTTTACTATTATTATTATTATTATTAGTAGTATTATTATTATTATTATTATTATTATTATTATTATTATTATTTATCCTGCTACCAGTCACCTTCTCCTAATCCCCGCCTACATGTCCATATCTACCTCAAATACTCCAGCAGCCCTGCACATAGAAATGTGGTAATGGCACTGACTCTGTATAAAGTCTGCTTAATTTTAACATTCTGTCATAAATAGCACACGTTCAACCTCATAAAAAACATGTTTTGTTATCTCAAGAGGTTAAATAAAAAAATATTATGGTAAGTGCCTAATAAGTGCCAAATAAAGTACCAGGGTTTACTGTAACAGGGTTGGCAATTTCTTCTTAAATTAGCCATTAATCCCTCTGTGACAGGGGGAGTGGAAACTTGCTGTGTGTAACAGGCAGTGGCAATTGAAGACAAGCTGTTAAAACATTTCTAGCCTGTCTGGGTAACAGGTTACGCTCAGTTTTCCACCACAGAACACCAGAAAATGGCCCAAAACATTACAACCAGCTCACCTGCTTTTACTCTTTATTGTAAAATAATTGTACATTTCTTTTGAAAATAATATTTTTAAAGGAATATAAAAATGTATAACCTTTATCTGTTATTGTCCCCCCCCCCCAGGGTCTTTCAACCCAGACTTCCGCCCTCCTGAGACACTGTTCAAGGTGATCTTCTGGCTGGGCTACTTCAACTCCTGTCTCAACCCCATCATCTACCCCTGCTACAGCCGAGAGTTCAAACTGGCCTTCATACGCATCCTCAGGTTGGTCTATTACTTACTACCTATCATATTACAGTACTCCTTAATTCCTCTGCATCTTCCGATTGGCCTTTTGTATTACGATTTACTCCGAGAGTGGCCAAGTATTATTCGTAGTAGCCTTTTGTGTGTCTAAAGTTCTGTACGTTGTGGTTGTTGATCTGAGCCATGTATAAGCCAAATCCAAATCTCCATGTTAAACCTTAATGGACAATAAAGTGTTTTAATTTGGACTTAATCCTTCCCCCACCTCCCCATCTTCAGATGCCAGTGCCACCGTAGGAGACGCCCAGGCTGGCGGGCCTACAACTACCGTACCTCCCACTTCAACTCCTCCAGCCACTCACGAAAGAACTCTGCTGAGTCTAGCCACTCACAGAAGAACTCTGCCTGTCTCAACGGGAGCCAGCACACCCTGTCCTCCTCAGCCAGCCCCAGCCCGAGCTACCTGCTGGCTTGCCCCGAGGGGGAGACCCTCTACACCTGCTGGGCCTCCGCCGCCTCCAGGTCCCCCTCCCTGCTGCCTGTGAGTCCTGCTGGCTGCCAGCTGGAGACACTGGGGGGGGGTGTGGGGAGTGGAGGGACCCATGGCGTGATGTCTCACAGGGAGTCCGGTCAGGGGGTGTTCTCGTTCCCCTGTGGGGGGCAGAACGGGGAGTGTGGAGGGGACATACCTGAGGATAAGGTGTGACTGTCTGGGAATCTTACAGACTCATGAGTTGTTGTTGAATGATTCTTGATGGGGATTTGAATCATGTTCAGTCCCTGACTGAATGGGGAGTGATGTATGGTTCCATTCACTGTCAGTGGGTCAAGTCAAGTCAAGTCAAATTATCCTCGAATGTTCAATGGTTTCGTATTGTTGGCATGAGAAATTGTTTAAGTTGCCCTCTGCTGTATGTTAGCCGGCTTTACTGAGCATCAGGATCAATCCAGGGGAGTGATGTATGGTTCCATTCGCTGTCAATGGTTAAAGTCAAGTCAAATGATCCTTGAACGGTCAATGGTTTTGTATTGTTGGCATGAGAAATGGTTTAAGTTGCCCTCTGCTGTATGTTAGCCGGCATTACTGAGCATCAGGATCAGTCCAGCATCTGTTCAATGGAACTCTCACTGTCAGAGGAAAACGACGACAGATTAGGCTGTACTGTATTTCTCAAAGAGATGATCAAGGGCAATAGTGAAGTAATGTGATAAACCACATAAACTGTACACTATGGATTTGACAGAGACAAATTCATGCCACATTGGGACTACGTGTGGAACTGCACCCTAAGCTGTCATCAATTCTCTTTCAGTTTGCCTGATCTGTGAATGCCTCTTCTCTGCTGGGTCTGTGGTCAGTCAGAGAATAGGTTTGTGTTACATGTAAAGAGCTGATGATCATTTTTCTGTTACGGTCACTCAATATCTTTTATTGAATGTTTTTGTAAATAAAGTATAACCTGGTTATTCAGTGTACTCATCATAAATATAGTGGGTAAAAAAAAAAAGAAGTGTAACGGGAACATTGAGGTGTGCTTTGATTTAAGAGGAGATTATAAAACCACTGCTATGGTTACACGCACTAACCCATCTATGAAAAATGTGATACACTCCATAAATAAATGTTTTTTCAAATATTACCCCAACTGTCATTCATATGTCAAAGATAAGATACTGTATATAGCGTACTTAGATTAAGGGCTTGATTCAATCCGTAGCGTGGAAGAACTGTGTTGTAGCGCGCTTGACATTTAAGGTAATTTCCGATTGAGCCGACATTTGCAGCGTTTACCGTGAATGCAGTCTTGCGAGCGCGGTAACGTTGCCTTTAAATGTCAATTGCACTACAGCGCAGATCTATCGCGGTACGGATTGAATCGAGCCCTTAACACTTGAACTGTCATATGCCAATGACCACTGATGTTTGATTTAGCAAATAAATAAAACAAATGTCCATATTGTACAATATGTGTGTCTCAGTGTGCCTATACTGTTTTTTATCTATGGATAACATGGGTTCATGGTAGGCCTATCACAATTGAATTTTAAGGAGAAAGCAAGCGCATGATCCCACGGGAAATATGGGAGTTTTTTTAATGTTCCGGAGTTGAGAATATTGGTAGCCAGAGACCAAAAAACAGATGTGGGATCTGCAGGAGGGGGGAATTGCATTGAATCAAATGATTAATTTCCAATGATTTACCGCCGTAAGGGAGGGGTGCCGCTAATAATAAACATTTAGTTTATTTATTATTCCTTTGGCCATATTGTGTAGGCCCTTTTGGAATGCTTGATGAATTGCCATGGTAACTGCCATTATGCTATCAACTTCCCAGCTAGCACATTTAGTTCCTTGAAAGTTGTGGGAACATACCTTTTTGGTTTCCCATTCGGGTCTGGGAACGAAGCCATACGTTTTCTGACCAGTAAAACAGATATATTTTTTTAACGTTCTGAGAATTTAAGTGGACATTCCGCCTGTTCTGGGAACGTACATTTTTTGGTTGCAGGAGGTTCTGAGAACATTTTACTATGGTTTCCTGAAAGTTTCCTGGGAGGTGTTATAGTTTTTCTCGATTGCTAAGACAATTTTAATGAAACTGGGGTCCACTTGATCTCCATCACAACCTAATGAGGACAACAGTATTATTTACTCATTGCTTTCACACAATGCAAATGCTAAGCACTGTTTTGCAAAACAGTAAACACAACTCTCAAAAGATGCAAAAGTCAGTTGAGTAAATCAAGTCAACCAAAATTAAAACATTTGCTCACAGCTGATACAAATTACTCCAATAAATGTGAACCTCTTCTGCATGTTTGCAAAACTTCTTTGCACAATTGTTCAATCTTTGCAAGAATGGCCCAAGTAACACACGCAAAACGACACCGGATTCAAAAATTAGAATCTTTCAATTTAAATTATTATATACAATTCTTGCTACCAATAGAATGTTATATATATGGGGGATACAATCTTCCCAGCTCTGCAGGTTTTGCTGTGAAGAGACAGAATGATTAGATAATTTGTTTTGGTTCTGTCCATTTGTAGCTTGTTTTTGGACACAGGTCCAGGAATGGCTAAAGGATTGCAATATTTACCTGGAGCTAACCTTGCAGATAGCATTACTGGGTGATCTGAAAAGTCATAGTCAATCGATCAATAATATAATAATACTTTTAGCAAAAATGTTTATTTTTAATTCACAATCTGTAGAAGCAATGAGAATAGAAAGGTTCAGAACTTTTGTAAAACATCACAGTACGGTTAAAATATATATACAGAGGTGAAAAAAAGTATTTAGTCAGCCACCAATTGTGCAAGTTCTCCCACTTAAAAAGATGAGAGAGGCCTGTAATTTTCATCATAGGTACACGTCAACTATGACAGACAAAATGAGAAAAAAAAATCCAGAAAATCACATTGAAGGATTTTTAATGAATTTATTTGCACATTATGGTGGAAAATAAGTATTTGGTCACCTACAAACAAGCAAGATTTCTGGCTCTCACAGACCTGTAACTTCTCCTTTAAGAGGCTCCTCTGTCCTCCACTCGTTACCTGTATTAATGGCACCTGTTTGAACATGTTATCAGTGTAAAAGACACCTGTCCACAACCTCAAACAGTCACACTCCAAACTCCACTATGGCCAAGACCAAAGAGCTGTCAAAGGACACCAGAAACAAAATTGTAGACCTGCACCAGGCTGGGAAGACTGAATCTGCAATAGGTAAGCAGCTTGGTTTGAAGAAATCAACTGTGGGAGCAATTATTAAGAAATGGAAGACATACAAGACCACTGATAATCTCCCTCGATCTGGGGCTCCACGCAAGATCTCACCCCGTGGGGTCAAAATGATCACAAGAACGGTGAGCAAAAATCCCAGAACCACACAGGGGGACCTAGTGAATGACCTGAAGAGAGCTGGGACCAAAATAACAAAGCCTACCATCAGTAACACACTACGCCGCCAGGGACTCAAATTCTGCAGTGCAGACGTGTACCCCTGCTTAAGCCAGTACATGTCCAGGCCCGTCTGAAGTTTGCTAGAGTGCATTTGGATGATCCAGAAGAGGATTGGGAGAATGTCATATGGTCAGATGAAACCAAAATAGAACTTTCTGGTAAAAACTCAACTCGTCGTGTTTGGAGGACAAAGAATGCTGAGTTGCATCCAAAGAACACCATACCTACTGTGAAGCATGGGGGTGGAAACATCATGCTTTGGGGCTGTTTTTCTGCAAAGGGACCAGGACGACTGATCCGTGTAAAGGAAAGAATGAATGGGGCCATGTATCGTGAGATTTTGAGTGAAAACCTCCTTCCATCAGCAAGGGCATTGAAGATGAAACGTGGCTGGGTCTTTCAGCATGACAATGATCCCAAACACACCGCCCGGGCAACGAAGGAGTGGCTTCGTAAGAACCATTTCAAGGTCCTGGAGTGGCCTAGCCAGTCTCCAGATCTCAACCCCATAAGAAAATCTTTGGAGGGAGTTGAAAGTCTGTGTTGCCCAGCGACAGCCCCAAAACATCACTGCTCTAGAGGAGATCTGCATGGAGGAATGGGCCAAAATACCAGCAACAGTGTGTGAAAACCTTGTGAAGACTTACAGAAAACGTTTGACCTGTGTCATTGCCAACAAAGGGTATATAACAAAGTATTTGTTATTTGTTATTGACCAAATACTTATTTTCCACCATAATTTGCAAATAAATTCATTAAAAATCCTACAATGTGATTTTGTGGAATTTTTTTTTCTCTTTTTTTCTGTCATAGTTGACGTGTACCTATGATGAAAATTACAGGCCTCTCTCATCTTTTTAAGTGGGAGAACTTGCACAATTGGTGGCTGACTAAATACTTTTTTCCCCCACTGTATGGCAAATAGAAATCCTATATGGATGGTGTTAAGAGATAGATGGGAGGTATTAAATAGAGTTGAAGGATGGGACTAATAACAAATAACAACAAATAATAACAAAGATAGCTAATAATGTAAGCATACTGTGTCCATAATAAGTATATAGGTTGTATGTTGGGAGCTTTTGGGAAAGAGCACAGTTAGAAATATATGGCATATAGAAGCAAACCGGATGGACAGCATGAAAATGATTGGAGAGGTTGAGAGTAGAAGAAGTTCAGGAGCAAAAAAAAATATATATATATATACAGTGGGGAGAACAAGTATTTGATACACTGCCGATTTTGCAGGTTTCCTACTTACAAAGCATGTAGAGGTCTGTAATTTTTATCATAGGTACACTTCAACTGTGAGAGACGGAATCTAAAACAAAAATCCAGAAAATCACATTGTATGATTTTTAAGTAATTCATTTGCATTTTATTGCATGACATAAGTATTTGATACATCAGAAAATCAGAACTTAATATTTGGTACAGAAACCTTGTAGGTCTTGACCAGGTTTGCACACACTGCAGCAGGGATTTTGGCCCACTCCTCCATACAGACCTTCTCCAGATCCTTCAGGTTTCGGGGCTGACGCTGGGCAATACGGACTTTCAGCTCCCTCCAAATATTTTCTATTGGGTTCAGGTCTGGAGACTGGCTAGGCCACTCCAGGACCTTGAGATGCTTCTACAGAGCCACACTTAGTTGCCCTGGCTGTGTGTTTCGGGTCATTGTCATGCTGGAAGACCCAGCCACGACCCATCTTCAATGCTCTTACTGAGGG